TGGGATTGACCGTAACATTATAACGTCCCTACGGCTGAAAGGGCAATCATGCTCAATAACAAGGATTCAAACGCGCGACCCTCAGATTACGTTTAGAGCGCCTAAGCTAACTAGCAGGTCCTGCCAATCCTACCTTATGATATAATACAGTATCAACATTTTCAGACACAACTACCTTTAAATTAATACTAATATGTTAATTTAAATCTATCAAGAAGTCTATTAAAAAGAAGATATGATTTTATAATTATCTAATCTAAGAGAATGATATTCCAAATGTATAACTGGGCTTTACTAAGGCAAAAAAGACTGTAATAGTGTATTTTTTAAATAGCTTATAAATTATAAGAAATATTATTAGAATAGCATTTTAACTGTTTTCATCGACTAACCCCAAATGGTCAGCGGTAAGTTTACGGATTTACAACACTAAAATCCGGAGTTCGATTCTCCGTTGTGGACAGAGTGCGGATGCTGCATTTCGTGGAAAACCTATTGTACTAATGATCTGTACAGAAATCTTATGTTTTTTTTATGGGGGTTAACAAATTCATATGTTACATTGCATCTTTTGAGAAATCTGAACACAGTTCTAACACCAGCGAGACCTTCCTTGAGAGAACTTGCAATAGAACTGTCATGACTAAAACTGCATGAAAACAAAAACATGAGCGAGCGTCATCCTAGCAGTAGTAGTTGCTGTTGAGTTGTTAGTGATAAGATACACAATGAGCTATTTGTACTCTGTTCACTGTGGGGAATCGAACTCCGGATTTTAGCAGTGTAAGTCTGTAAACTTACCGCTAACCCGAGGAAGGCTCTTAATAGTTAAAAATATGTTTATATTTGAGAGTTTTAGAAACTACTGATATACACTACTTTTTCTTTCAAATATTATGTATCATAATGTTTTATTTTTACTTTTAGAGACATTTAATAATAGATTTTGTTCGATTATGAAACTTTCAAATATTAAATACCGTTTTTAACTGTTATTACTATGATTTATTGTTTTAGTTAGCGACACCTATAAACCGTTTTCTGAAACAATTCGAGGACACGCTTATAATACACGTGACAGCATTCAAACCTTGTGATTGGTTCTCATCAACTGTTTCTATCTTATTGAGAAGAAAATGGCTACCCTCCAGGAATAAAGTTTTCTCGGTTGTTTTTAGTTTCTTTGTCAGTTACTTAAGTTATATCAGCATTTTTGCCATTATGTCTTATTCCACAGTAAGAATGACCCGTCAAAACGTACGGAAGACAAAAAAAAAGAACTTGAAACGTTTCGTTTTGCCACCATTAGTCAACGACACAGGTAGACAACGTTATCGTTAATGAATCAATTGCACTGCAGTATATAAAAAAGCATTGTTCAGAAATAAGTTAGGCCTACATTTGATATGTACCTAATTTACCAAGCAAATGTTATTTAGTATATTTTGTAGAGTTAAAATCAAAACTATAACTTGTTTCCTCGATATTGTTAGTACGTTTGGCATTTTATCGTCTAACTGGGTGGAGTTGTAGTAGTTACCACTAAACTAGTAATACTATTACTAGTAGTAGTGCGACTACAACAGTAGAAGTAACAAAACTCAAAATTGTACATTGTACAGTACCACATAAGTTCATTTCTTATGTATTAAGCCTGTAAGTCCTGGACTAATTAAGTAATACTGACAATACTGCATTAAATACTTAATAAAATCATAAGACTTGTCAATGGATATATATCTGTATCTAGTACTAGTGGCAGTGCCCTCTTTGCATGTCATAATTACCACTACAATACAAATTAGTTGTTTGTTTTAGTCTTTTCCTTCCAACACTACTCAAAATTTAAAAAAACAGATCTGTAAATTAACATGAATAAAGAATGTGTGTGTCTGGGGATCAAGTGAAATGTTATAAGATTGTCAGTGGCTATTTTGCACCTTATGTGTGCAGTTATCAGTTGCAGTAAAAATGCTGATTAAGCTCTTAGTTTTATCTTGTTCAGACTTCTGCTTGAGATTTAAAAATTGCCTTTACTATAGTATAACAATTATATTAAGATCTATTTACTTGCAAATTCTCTCACATTTTGTTGAGTATAGTAATTATTTTTATAATATTAGCTCATTTGAACAAATGACACAAAGCTAAGCTAAATTTGTCTTGAAAAGGTACAGGATGCTATTTTAAGCTTTTAACTGCACAAAATTATCATTGTTTAAAACTGAATATGTAAGTAAAACAGCTGAAGTTTTACTGATTTCTGAATGTGTTTTGCATGTGACTTGCTGCAGTTTTAATATTGTTTTTGCAGAAGAAATGTTTAAAGGCTTTCTTGGATGTGGGCTGTTAAGATACAAAACTATATTTTTAATAACATAAGAATAAAAAATGACAGAAAATCAGCCTACTGAGGCCAACTTTCATCACCAAATGAGAAAGACTAACCAAACTAAACTAAATGTAACCTTGTGTCAGAAGTGTATTTATCTAAAATCAACAAGAATTTAGACTTTGCATACCAAGCAGATAGTTCAGTTTATTACCAATTTTACAGTAAAAATAATTCTATCTAAGAAATAGGTTTATAATTTCAAAGCTTATAAATAAATCTGGTTTTAAGATTACTACTTCCATAATTTTTTGCAAATATCAAAAAGATTTTCTGAAGATTGCCAAACCAAGTCTTTCAGTTAATGTAATGCAAACCTAATGTTTAGCAAAGCCATTTTGAGGGTGGAGCTTTTGCATCACCTTGTAGATTATACTTAAGAACATAAAAATCAAAATGTAGTATCAGATCATTTGGTTCCTCAGTTATCTAACCAAAAATTTGATTCTTCTGGATTAATTTTTAAAACATAATAGTTAGATGTGAAATAATTTTGCTTTCTTGTTGTAAACCAATAAACTGTTTACATATTATAGCAATTTTTCTGTTTGTTTCATATTTTATGTACTCTATTTCAAACAACTTTGCTATAAAACAAACTACCTGATGTAAAGAAAACCACATTATAATCTAAAATTCTGTTCTAGACTTAACCATTTGTTCTAACCAACCAGAGCAAGTTCATTAATTAGACTATTCTTACAGTTTCTACCACTGATTGAATGTTTATTAGCCATTCCTTACATCAGTTGTTGATCAAGGTAATTGCTGTAGTGACATTAGTCACCAATGCAGTGCATTAGTAAATCCTTCTAGAGTTTTGAAAATTGTATAAGCATTTAGTATTATCATTGGATTAACTTTGTTCAATTAATTTTTTTGCAAATGTTTTTAGTTCATTGTATTTGTAAAATCACACTGAAGATATATACATATATTTGTTAATTGTTTTTGTATGTGATAAATCAGTTCTTTCATATAACTTCTTTTTTACCATTTAATTTACACCTTATAATACTCCAACTATAAGAACACAAATAATATAGCATTTGAGATTTACCACATAGTATACACTTCAAATGATCAGAAGTAGAACTTTCTCTGCTTTATTAATGTTTAAATTTTTCTTCAACTTTCCTTGATTGAGTAAAAAAAAGGTTGTTTTGACTTGTAAGGTGTAATTCTTTAATAAACTCATGCTGCACCTAGAGCTGGGCAATTAATGGAACTTACTAATTGATTAAGTGCTCATTAAGTGAGTACATTTAAGTATTTGATTATTCTTACAAGACTAGCATAGTTGGAATAATTTAAAATAGTAATAATTGGAAATGCTAATTTTTAATTAGTTGATTATTTTTGTGAGTTGTGACACTAACTGATTAAGCTGACCAACCAAAAATAATGAGAAATAATGGTGATATTTCATTAATTACTTGGATTGGTGGAATAATCAAAAAAATAATAACTGTAAACACTAATTTTGATTAGTTGATCATTTTACATGACACTAATCAATATAGTTGATGCTCATAAGTAATCAATTATACATATATATATATATTTTTTCATTTATATTATATTCAGTACATTATTCGTTTTAATCCTCAAATAACTGGCTTGTTTTTATACCATTTTCTACTAATAAGGTTTACATATTGAGAAATTTTATGTTTTTGCCGGTTAACACTGATGAAAATATTGGGTGAAATCAGTAATTTTCTATGTAAATTACATAGGAGATCCAAGCAGTAATTAGTGAGACTAATTGCAGTATTGCACACATATATATATATTTGTAATGTGACTCATTATTAGGGACTATTTAACTAGTGTTTGTGAACCCACAAGCAATTTGGTATATAAATGGTATCAAAAGATGTGTAAAGCTGATGATAGACCCCATTAATAGTTTTAGGGTTAGTGATGTATTAACTCCAAAGTAAATAAATAGAGAAATGTAGGTACTATGAAAGTAAAATCAAATAAGACTTGTAACCTTAAAACATGTAAAATTAGCTTTAAGAAGTATAAGTAATTTTAGATGAAAGTTACTTTCTAAATGCACAGTTCTTCCAACTATGTGGTTACTGAACTAGGGCTAAAAAGAGTATGAAACAGATGAGGCAATGATCTATACACATGATAATTACAAGTTTTGTGAACCTGTATTCTCTTTCTCATTTTGAGTTTATGCAATTAAGGATTAACTAGGAAACGACACACTAGCCTATTTTTTAACAATTAGCATGGTACTTTTGACATTCAAACTGCAACCTTTCAGTGTCAGAGAGTGTTTGTTGTGTTAGGTTTTAGCTAAATTGAGACTAGTTACATGAGCTGAAATGCCACCTACAGGCAACTGCTTGTGTTAGTAATTACTAATTGCAGTATTCATACCTTAATGATAAAAATGTAGAAAAAGTGAACATTTTCTAAAAAAAAAAGATTTTTTTGTGGGAAGTACAGCACAGGAAAAGTGTTCGGATTGTGCTCTTTAGTCATATGCAATTCATTACGTCAAAATGATTCAGTGTACAGAGTTCAAAATTTTAATAAATTTTACAGATATAAACTGTAATGTATATTAAAAATGGTATCATTTATTGAAAAAATAATAGTTTTTTAAGAACTCCAGTTTCTCATTACTACATTTAAAAATTATACCAATAAAGATGTAATCAAACAGTTACATACAGTCCTAGTGAAAGTCATGTTCTTGTTGTGAGGAGAGTACCTTTATCTAAAATTGTGTTCTATTATAAAGAAATGGTTGTTGCACATACCACAGTTATTTTTCTAATTGTCTGAATCTTGAATATCCAAAATGTGAAATTTTTTATGGATATTTGTTTGTGGTGGCATTTAATAGATGGTGCACAAGTTTTGATTACATACATAGATACTGACATACACGCTACATCCATTATAGTAAGATTAGAATTACAAAAAGTGTTACTTGTCAAAAGTAAACAACATTAAAACATTAAATTTATTTTAAAATGGTGTTTTGGATCAAGGCATATCATTAGGTAGTGTCTAAAATTCTTTTAAAAATTAAATGTGAAACAAGTTCAAATGACAATAACAGAATAACGAAAGGGAACATGTAGATCTCATTACAAGTAGATTAGTTGTTAGCAAAATATGTAGGCAAAACAAACAATACAGTAAAATCCTGATAAATGAAGTTAAGTAAATTAATAAAATAAAATTTATGTGAGTGGATGAAAAAGTTTTAAAAGGTACCTTGAAATAAGTTAAAGAAAATGCAGTAAAATTATCTTTTTACAACTACTAATCTACTGTTTAAAAAAAGTAAAAGAGAATGTACAGTAAGGTTACAGTAAACAACTGTGTAAGAAACAACGAACTAATCAGAAGGAAACATGAAAGACCATTTTATGTTTTAATCCTGGTAAGGAAAGAGTTCCTAGGATATAAATAAGATGCTGTTCCTTGCATTCACATGAGAGATATTCAGTTGGAGCAGACCTTAAAACAACAGGTTTGAGATGAAAAAATTTTATTTGCCCCAAGAAATGTTGGGAGACTGGCTTATTGATATTACAATTAATAATTTATATTCTGTGTTTATGAAATCTCTCGCTAACTTTTTACCCTATTGCAAATTATGCAGTAGATGACAGGCTTAAGTAGATTTAAATCTGAAAATATTTTTCACCCTTTGCTGTTTATTTGTAGAAGTTTTAATTTTTATAGATTTTTGAATTCGTAACTGTAAAGCTTAAGCACATAAATGTTTAGAATTTTTGACAGTGAAGAATTAATGTTTATTTTAAAGAAGACAGTCTTGTAATTTTTCACTGTTTGATAGTACAAGTTTTTAGAAAATTCTGTGGTCAAACAGGCTACAGATTTTTGAAAATTTACAACAAGTTTTCATTCTTCACAATTTTTAACTTGATTACATTTCATAAAAGTTTAGATTATTATCATATTCTTTACTTTTTTTTTTTAATTTTTCTCTATAACACCAGGGACTTTTTTTTTGTCCCTTTATGTCCTACCAGGACATTACTCTGGACCTTCAAAGGAGCCTAACCCCCCTTGACCATACTTGCCATTTGAAACTCTTCAATTTTCACTTAGGCCTCATCTTCAAGTCAGGGAAAATCCTATACAGATTTGGAATGATTTATGTATTGGCTACAAATAGACAAATATGGCTAAAATTTCAGCTACAAAACAAACAATGGTGGGCTGGCCTTGGTCACAACTCATGGAAATAGTGAGTTAATCAGAACTAGTGTTTCTGATTATTACTATTTTTGATTATTTCAACTATTCACGTCTCATATTTGAAAATAATCTAGTAGTTGAATGTAACCCGTTAGTGAATTCCGCTAATTGTTACAGACCTTTATGGTCTTTTTTCCATCTTGATTTACAATGGAAGCTGATCCAAATGTTATTTACAGAGCTTTTCAACATACACAAGGTGCATTTGTTTGTAGTGTATCTGCAGTTGTCTTTCAAATTTGAAATATGTCTAATTCAAGTTGTTCAGTTCCTACAAAAGGTTTTGTACAATTAACACATAATGATTAATTTTCTTATTTTAGTTGTAAACTATCAGGACAATGGTTTCTGCTCTCCTGGACGGCCAGGCATGTGTACCACACATCAACCTCCCTATGACCTTCGGCGAAAACTCTCACTTCAAGAAAGTGGATGTCCTGGGTCCAGTAGTGGTTGTGGTGGAAGAGGACCAGGCTGCAACCAAGTGATGATACCTCGTAAACGTCCAAAGCGTTCATGTTCTTCTGCTGATGGTAGGTTTTCCGGTCTGTTCTCAGCTTCATCTTTTGATTCATATTCTGAGTGATTGAAGTTAATGAGAGTATATTATCATAAGGAGTTATTCCTAAAGTTTTTCATTAAAATTACCAAACGTTAAACGTTTTTCTTTGTTATTTGCTATATTAAGTGATTCAGTATGGATACGTATGTTTGACATAAGCACAATACAAGTATTTATTCTAATATACATTGTGAGAAAATATTTAGTAAGTAGAAAAGTACTCTAGTGCACTTTGTGAGAAAATATTTAGTAAGTATAAAAGTGCTCTATTGCACCTTGTGAGAAAATATTTAGTAAGTAGAAAAGTACTCTAGTGCACCTTGTGAGAAAATATCTAATAAGTATAAAAGTACTCTAGTGCACCTTGTGAGAAAATATTTAGTAAGTATAAAAGTACTCTAGTGCACCTTGTGAGAAAATATCTAATAAGTATAAAAGTACTCTAGTGCACCTTGTGAGAAAATATTTAGTAAATATGAAAGTAACATCAATAAGATTCACCTGTAGGTACAAATAATAAAACACTGGAATGTCAGACTTTTTTATTTTCTTTTATTAATTTCTTCTACCGGTTTCGTGACTTCAAAGGTCACTCTTCAGGAAATATTTTTAGTGGGAATCTATAGTATGATTATGCTGTTGTAATTTGAAGTATATCCTTTCCTGGTCCTGTCTTATGTAAAGTTATTCTGTGTGTACTTAAATAACAGTACTGTGCTAAGCAGACATTTAAACTATACTAATATACATGTACACAGTGATCTTTATTGTTGTATTCCATTTATTTCATCATTCTCAAGGGCTTTTAAGAAATTTTGGGACAAGATTGCTGGCAAATATACTGCAGCCAGTTAAATTCTTAATTGTAATGGGTCAAAAACTATCCAGTTGGACTTTAGATAGATCTGTAAGGAAGGGTAGATTTTGACCCTTGGAATACATTAAAGCATGGTGTGAACGTTCGGTAGTACTAATTTACTGATGAAGCCACCATAACGTCTAGTTTAAGCGCGATTGAAATCGTTTTATTTTACACATAATCCATATAAATTAAATAACATTCACGTGTCGTTTCAAAATATGTTATGTTGAACAGTAATCATGTTTTTATGTTTTAGATATAAACAAAAACAGTCCATTATTTATGTACATGTATTTGATGCTGCATTGCAATGCACCCTGTTGTGGCCAGTTAAAAGAATTGCAGCTGACTTATGCAAAGCATATTTCTTCAACAGTCACCATTTCAAGCAGATTAAAAATCATATTTTTAGCACAAAATTGTTGTAACAATGTGATTAGAAAATAAATATGGATCTTTAACTGTTACAGAAAATTACAAGAGAGTGTCATTATTAGTCACATTTCTTAACAATATTCTTTTCAACATTAAAATTATCAGTGTTAGCTTGTATTTTATGTTCCATACATATTGTACAGTAACATTTCTCTCATGTTTTGTACACTAATCATTCAGTACATTGTATTTAAGCAATGCAGCTGCTAAATGTGCACCCCTATACTTCACCATGATGGTCTGCTCCATCCAGTGTTCAGTAGGAGCTACTACATATGACATTTTGGTTGTTGTTGTTGTTTTAATAAAAGGATTTTTGTTTAAGTAATAAACATTATACCAATAAAAAAATTACATTTTCCACATGATTGATGTTTAACGTGTGATTACTATTTAAACATTGTCAAATAGTTTCTATTAAAAATAGAGAACAAAACAGCTGACACTGCTTGGTGAGCCTTGGAATGTTTAGAACCTTCTTTGAATTCCTGGCTAACCTTGCAACACATCTCTAATTTTAGACAAATCTAACAAGACACCTAAATATGGATGTATATACAAAGTGTTTTTTTATCAGGATTGTCCTTATACATAGGGGAAACGGGTCATGAATTTGGGTGCAGCTAAGAGAATATTCCTGTCACGTGTATTTAAACATGAGCAACTTGTGTCACATACGTAAAACAGACTTTTCTAATACCAAAGTCATATGTAGGGAATCAAGAGAAACTAAGCACTTTTGATTTTATCGTTCAAGTTTCCCATTAATCAACATCCTCTATACTTACATCACTTGAATATCACATCTGTAGGAATTTTTCCACTTGCATGTCATTCATTATGAAGTTGGCATGAAACTTGCCTCGTTGACCCCTTGTGTGCATTGTGTTTTTTGATGTATCACGTTAAATGTTTTGGTTTTACTATTGTGAGGTTATGAGAATGTGATTCATTATATAATAGTTATGTAATCTTTATGTTGCTGCTGGTGTAATGTAATACTATCTTTTGTGTAAATTTGGGTTGGTGGATTCATTGTTCATTGGTATAGTATAATGCTATCTTGTATGTAAATTTGGGTCGGTGGATTCATTGTTTCATGGTATAGTATAATACTATCTTGTGTATAAATTTGGGTCGGTGGATTCATTGTTTCATGGTTAGTATAATGCTATCTTGTGTGTAAATTTGGGTCAGTGGATTCATTGTTTCATGGTATAGTATAATACTATCTTGTGTGTAAATTTGGGTCGGTGGATTCATTGTTTCATGGTGTAGTATAATACTAGCTTGTATGTAAGTTTGAGTCAGTGGGTTCCTTGTTTTAAATTCGCTGCTCTGGGGAAAGAATGTCTGTAAACACTCTTCTTTTAAATTGTTAATTTATTTTTCAGTTTTCTGTTTATCACCATAAAGCCACCTTAGTCTTTTGTTTTAGATAAATTTACCAAACTAACATTTTGTATAATTACATTATGCACAAAAACATCATTGTTTTAATGTTGTAGTTTTTCATATTAGTTAAACATAACTAAACTGTAATTAAGCTCACTAAATTTAAATGTTGTGTAATAATATCATGCACAGAAGCAATGCATGATGGTTAAAATCAGGAACAGTAATATTTATTGTTCTTAATATTGAGTCTTACAAATGAATTTTTTGTGGCAACTGTCACAAGCAGAGCTACTATCCTTTTAGTTTTAAAAATACTGAGAAGAGACTTCATAATTATGAAAAAGGAAGAACCTATATATATATGTGTGTGTGTTTGTAGATAGATAGATTGACATGTGCATTAGCATTCTTTGTTTCTGTAAGGTGTGTTTCTAAATGAGCAAGTTGAGTTTTTCATTTTCAGATAATGGTGTTACTGAAACAGATAGTAGCATGATAATATTGTCTAATTTTGTCATCAGTCTTATGTCTGTAAAACAGTGGTTTAATTAATTAAGAATAACAAGGACATTAGATGTGAAATAAATAAATATATATATATATATATAGGCCTAACATTAGTTCAGCCTATATTTTATAAAGAGATAAATTAACATTGTAGCATGGATACATTTTATGCTTTAATTTAGTTAGGGCTAAGCTTTACCATACTTAATATTATCAATAAATAAGCTTATATTTGAAATGTTCTTCTATGATTTAACATTACACCTTCTTATAAAACTTTGGTAAGTTTTTAATATGTTGTTGTACAATATGTTTACTGAAGTATTTACATCCGGATACCTTTCGTTTACGTACGTTGGAATGAAGTGTGCATGCACACACATTTAGATAGTATGGTGGACATACAAAAACTGAGCATTATTATAATAGATGATATTTGAAAGTTACCTTTTTTGAGTTAAGATGTTTATTTTGCTTAATTTCACAGTATCTTATGACATTTTTATTAATTTCTTCTTTTTTTTTAGAAGTGGATGCTGCTCATTATCTCTTGTATGAAATACCCGATGAGTTAGTGTTAAATATATTCTCATATTTGTTGGAACAAGACCTGTGTCGAGTTGCCCAGGTCTGTAAGCGCTTCCACACTATCAGTAACGACACCGAACTCTGGTGAGTGTAGTTATATCCTTTGTTACATTATTACTTATTTATATCAGAAATACAGAGCTTTGTGTAATTTTGAAGACATAGTTAACAGATGAAGCACAGTGAACAAAGATCTTTATATGAACAGAACTGTTTTGAAAGTTTGATAGAAGATGGCGCTTCAGTGTGCTCTACTTAAACTTCAGTTTCACATCAAAAAAGAGATTCTTCTAAATTCTCTTGGCAAGTTGTCCATAAAAGAATTCTTCATCCACTAAATGTTTGCTTAGCTTATTGTTATTTCCATAATTTTTATGAAGACAGTGAGCTGAATGTCATTGCTCTCTTTACTTATGGAGCCTTTGTAATAATTCATTTATTGTAAAGTGTCTTTTGTAAATCTACAATTATATAAGAATTCAAGTATAAGGAGACTTTTGAAAATTGTTTTTTTGTTTTTTTTTGTGGGTACAAACGTGTTGATTTAAGTTGAATGGTAATAAATCTTGGATCTTAGGTTTGTTTTCATTAATCTTTTGTTACTGCTTACAAAAATCAGTAAATGTGTCGTTAAGAAAGTCATTTGTTTTGTTTAAAATATTGCAATACTTTTTCTAATGTCTTAAATGTGACATTGTTTTACTAATTATATTTTTTTAGAGAGTTCATGGCCATAGATTGGTAACGTTTTGTCATTAAATAAAGGATGAAGTCACATTGATATTTAAATTAGAATGTAATCATTGTCTGTTATATTTGTTTTGGTGATTACAGATCTTAGATTGACCTGTTTCTCAATTTATTCCATCAGACGTAAAAGTTATATAGTTATCGAACAAATATTTATGTAGCCTAGTGTGAGATCTAGTTATTTTGGATATTTATAAGAACATAAAAGTACTAAAAATCACAAAATTAAAAAATTAATTTTTAAATATTTCTTATATAAATATTACCCAAAATATCCTTTACGTATTAAGTTCTTGTACTCGCTGTTAAAGGTGTTTGGTTAAACCATTTATTTGTCTGAAATTGTGTAAAGTATGGGTTTAATAATTAAAATATATATCATTGAAAATATACTGCTACAGACAATTATAACAGCATCGTAGTTTTTATTGCTGTGATGTGGTGTTTATTTTGGACACTATCCAAAATCTTGCACCTCTGACATTTGACAAAAATCTCTGATGAGCTGAGCATCTCCAAACTTACAGTGAATTGTAGAAAGAGTCAATAAAATATGTTAAGAAGCTTTTATCAGATAAGTTGACAATATTAAAAACAAAAATAGCACTTAATACATGAATTAAAAAATGCAATAGACAGTTCCTATTTCTTTACTACTCAGTTTATACAGTAGTAATACTTAGAAGTTTTATTTGTTTATTTTAATTTTTATTGTTAATATACTGAATGATAGTAACATATCGTTTACATTTTATTTTCATGTGGATTTTTCAATTTATCTCAGTTTGAAAACCATTTCTGTGATTCCAATACATTTTCATTTTAAATAGTCGTGTATATGTATATATAATCTTCTCCCTTATAATTAGGAAAAACCTTTACCAGAGTGTGTATGAATATGACCTTCCACTGTACAATATGGGACCTTGCAAATATGCATTTGTACAGCTTGATGAAACAGAAAATGAAAACCCATGGAAAGAGAGTTTTAGACAGTTGGTGAGTTTTTTCTACAATCTGATTATTTACCAGAAAACACTAATGGTTGAACAGAACTTGAGTGGATACTTTTGATCTGAAGCCTTTTCTATGGAATTGGTTAACCAATTCCACAGAAAAGGCTTCAGATCTAAGGGATCCACTTATGGTCAGCTGACCATAAGTGGATCCCTTAGATCTGAAGCTTTTTCTGTGGAATTGGTTCTGACCATAAGTGGATCCCTTAGATCTGGAGCTTTTTCTGTGGAATTGGTTCTGACCATAAGTGGATCCTTTAGATCTGGAGCTTTTTCTGTGGAATTGGTTCTGACCATAAGTGGATCCCTTAGATCTGGAGCTTTTTTTATGGAATTGGTTCTGATCTTTCACAATGACCCAGAAAATTGTATTTCTGGAATTTAGAAAATTTGGAGGAACATGTAATTTTTTATATGGACCTCTTCATCTTTTACTGGGCTTTCATATTATTCACTTGGTGACAAAAGTATCCTCTATTTATAATAATGTTACATTTTATGTTCTGTAAGATAAACACCAACATTAGCTGCATCTTATAAGAATGATCTTCTGATGGTGTTTCTTCCATCATTGTTCTTGCTTAGTCAGATGGCTGTCATTACGCATTATTTCTTGGCACCACAATTTTTGCTTGTGACTAGCTTTTGTGGAAGTCAGCTAGGTCAATCTTGGTGTGCATGGAAGTGTATGAACTTTTGGTGAGAATTCGTTAACTTCAATTTCTTGCTTATTGTCCTATTAATACATCCAGGAGATATGTTCAGTCACGCTTTTCAGATGAGGCCATTGCTCTAGACTGGCTTGGATTAGGATTTTGTAGCCCGTGAATATCTTAAATGCTCTTTCTGTGCGAGTTCTTACACTTCATTGTTGAGATTGTTCTATTATTTGGCTCTACATAATTTAACAATCTGTCTACAAATATCTATCCTTGAAAATGTAATCCTGTTGTTCTAGGTCTGCCTGTTTCTCATTGCTCTGTTGAATGATCAGGAATGTACCATGAAATAAATATATGGATGCTAAAATTGTTTCCCATGATGCCACTGCATGCATTTGTGGTGGCTTAAGATGTTAATGATAATTGTGGTGATCTGTTTCTAAGAATAGTGCTTAAAAGTGCTATCTTATACAATAATTTTATTTACCTGGTGGCAAAAATTGATAGCTAAAGAAAGGGTAAGAAATTTAAATCACCTTTATGGGCCTGTAATTCAGTTAGGATGTTTGGCAGCTTGAAATTGCCAATTATAATTTATGTTACTGACAAATTATAAGAACTGACTGACAGAATTGACAAATTTATGTTTTAACTTCTGTTGCTGTATTAATTTTGTATGTATGTTTGAATTGATATTTTTAGTAACTTAACTCTTTATGTAAGGTCGAACTTTTTCACCTTAATAATAACTAGTAATGATGAATTTTTAATTTTATGAAGAGTTACTTCAGAATTAGTACTGAAGTTGCCAAATTACACTAGACATGTCACATCATTGGTGTGAAATCTAACACTCGATGTTACTATTTGGATTTCTTAGAATAAACTATACTGAATGAATTAGAAGTACATCAGCACAACTGTTATTTTATGAAAACAGAAGTAATATGTATGGGTGAGAGAATTCCATGCTGTGTACAGACATTTGTACTTGGAGTTTTGGCCAGTTGTAAAGTTATGATAAACAGTTGAGTGAGTCTTGCTAACACTTAACAGAAAATCATAAGTTATTATTAAAGTCATGTTCAATTGAAGTTTGAAAGCCTAAGAAACAGTTGTCATTTTTTATTTCAGTATCGGGGCATACACGTTCGCCCAGGATACCAGGAACTTGTAGAAAACAATCCAGAACGTTACAGTGGGAGAAATATCATTGTAAGATTTAAATTTTCCTTTTTGGTTAAACTGTTTTCTGTTGAGAAGCATTATATAAAAGTTCATGAAGTTAAGTTCCTGTAAATACTTGAGAGATGTGTCACACCTAAGAGTTTGTTGATTATATGTTACAGTTTAAACACTGATAACTGGCAAAGCATTAGACATCAGTACTTCTAACGTTTGTGATAAAACTTGCATATATTGTGGATGTTTCCTTCCACATTCCTCTGAATTTTTCTATTTCGAACCTGAAATTGGAGGTATTCAGATATATATCTTGTCTTATAAAGTTGCAACCAGGTGAGCTGGATGGCGAGAATCAAATGTTATTCATTTGCGAAGCACAGAGCTTTACAAAGTTACATTTTAAATGTTGTAAGCTTGCAAAACATTAGAATTCATTGTACTTAACAGGGTCTTCTTTCCATGCTGATTTTTCCAAGCCAGTTCCCTTGGCTGTGGTTTCGCTAGATAGTAGATAGGGACAGTGGGAATCTCGTTAATCCATTCATGCACGTCACTAATTAGATGACGAGGCATTTGGCTACCTTAAGAGAGTCATAGTTGAACTGGATGGCGAGAATCAAATGTTATTCATTTGCGAAGTACAGAGCTTTATAAAGTTACATTTTAAATGTTGTAAGCTTGCAAAACATTAGAATTCATTGTACTTAACATTTTTGTAAATGTTATTTTTACATACTTCTTATTTTGAATCTAAAATAGACAAACTAAGAGGAAACAAGTGCAGTTTACATGATTGTTATCAAAAAGGTTATTGATTATCTTGCAGTAGGGAATAAAAAATAATGTTTGTTAGCTCTGTAAATATTAAATCTACCTGTTAACATTTTATATTTCTTTAGTCTTATTGTCTAAAAATGTTCAAAATTGTTAATAGTATAGAAATTCATACTGTATACAGTACTTTCTCTTTATTATAATAACTCAAAATGCTTAATATACAAACAGTATGGTGCATGTTGAATGTAAAGTGTGATATGTCTATATATAGTTAATTTCAAATCTTGAAATACTTGGATTAAGCTAAATACAAAAACACACCTCGTGAGATAGTTTTGTACTCAAGACTAATTATGTTATAAACTATTATGAAGTACAGATACGTAAATCAAAACAGGTTGGAAGATTAGTTATTGTTTTTTATCTATTAACAAAATGTAATATTTCGTATGAAGACATTATCGTATAAACATATTGTAAGAAATTTAGTTCATTTATAAACAATACCTCAAATTCTGCTGAAAATATATAAAAAAAAGAAATTAAGTTTATTATTATTATTAGACTTTTTTTTATAATTAATTAAGTACACAGATGTCTGCCATTTTTTGAAGCATGAAAAATAATGTAGAATTTCTTATGAATAGAGAAGTCCAATAAAAAAATTAAATAACTTGGGCTGTCGGAAAAATGTCATTTGTTATTTCTAAGTAAATGAAACTTGTACTGGCTATACTGCCCAAATTATTAACACTGATATCATTCATTTACTTTTGATTTTGTTGACAGTATTTTGACACAATTGAGCACGCTTTAGAGTCTGAGGAATATGAGAATTCTTTGATTTTCATCCATTGTGGTGTTTATAAAGGAGACTATGTTATTTACTCCAATGTGACATTGATTGGGGCAGGTAGGACAGCATTTATTTCTTAATAATGTATTTCTTTTTTTCTTTTTTTCCTTATTAGTTTTATTATATACAAGTTTAGCAAAAGGGATTTGTTTATATATATATTTGTAATTGGAGCTGTAACCATATCCAACTACATTGAGTATTAGTATAATTATATAATATTTTACATGTATAAGTACTGGAACTAGACCTAACTAAAATATTTTGAAATTGGTTCAGACCATAACAAGGTAATAAGCACCATGTGTACAAATAACTAGAAAAATAGTGGGTAACAGACTTTGTGAAAGTCTATTACTAGAATGAGGACAGTGTCAATTGAACATGTCATAGGCCATACAGTAATGAAGCATTGTGGAAGATGGTAGCGGTTTAGGGGAAATCTGTATGCATCTATTAACTGCTTTTAATATCCTGACTTGAATTGAATTAAGCTTCAGCTAAAAGTTGTGCTTAAGTTTCATGAACTAGGCCCAAGGTACTATGTAACCCGTATATCAAATATGTTACTTCATGTGATGAGAAATGAAATAACTTATCAAAGGTAACTATTTTGTGTTCATATTTAAAGGAAATACACATTTGTAGAAATAAAAAAGGAAAATACATTATAGTGTGAGCTGTTAATTTGAAGTACTATAAGCCTAAACCATTTCTTTGTTCTTCGGAAAACGTATTCAGAAAGATGGTACAATAAAAGTGTTTGCAAAAACCAGAAAAAATTAAATTGTAGTCTGTAATTTGTACCATGCTTCTGTGCTAAAAAAGTTTTGTTTAAGGTTAGCCTAGAATTTTAAAAGTTGACGAAATGTTTACGTCCCAGTTTCTTGATGAAAAGTTAGAATATTATTGTGATGATGGACTTTCATGCTGAGTCTGTATCTTGTTAATGAATTATGTCTATGTGGATTAAATGTAGGCATCTCAGTTCATTTCTTACAGTTCATTGTGATATTAATTCTCAGTTGAAAATTTTACACTTTCATAGAAAACTTTTATGATGTTCGTAGCAGGAAAAAGAATAGTTTTTTAATGAATTTAGTAACTTTAATATGTAAATGCAATCATTGGAAATGTTTTCTGTTTTCAGCTCCAGGCAATGTTGCAGAAAATGTTATTTTAGAAAGGGAGTGTGAGTCTACTGTTATGTTCACCAAAGGTGCTAGAGAAGCATTCTTGGGGTTTGTTACGCTTAAGGTATGTTATTTTTCATTGGTTTCTCTACAAATAAGATTTAAAAAATGAGGCTCGTTTTATGTATTTTTAAACCCAAGACTTTTGAAACTTCATCCTTATCTCACAAGTCTATCATAATGACTTGAATTGCAGTTTAATGGTAAGTATAACTCTTAGCATCATAAGCTGAAATTTTTGGCAGATTTTTGAGTAATGTTTATAAAAATTTTGATCAGTTAACTCAAAAAAATCTGTAATACATAATGCTTGATTCTAAAAGAGATTTCCATTTCATTTTAGTTTGTATTCGTTTTGTGATTCATAATTAATCAGAATGTTACATTATTTGACAGGAAAGAAGTATTCAGATCTATGTTAGAAAGTTAGTCATGTGTTTCAACCATTATTTTTTAGAATAATATCAACCAGTTTATCAGTTTTTTGGTCTAGCATGACAACTTATGTCATATGAACTCTACAAAACTGTCATAGATTTAATGATACACTTGGCTTTTCAATACTTCTATGTCCAGTTCATGTGGTAAAGAATAACTGTAAAACATTTTTAGGTCCCCAAGTAAATCAGAGGTAAGTTTACAGACTTTAAAATGCTAAAATCTGGGGTTTGATTCCCTGTGGTGGACACAGCAGATAGCCCAATGTGGCTTTGCTCTAAAATAAACAAACATACAAAACATTTCTAGAGGTGGTTAACCCGACACGACCAGGTGGTTAGGGTTGCGGGTTCAAATCCCCACTCTACCAAACATGCTCGCCCTTTCAGCCATGGGAGTGTTATAATGTGATGGTCAATCCCACTATTCATTGGTAAAAGAGCAGCCCAAGAGTTGGTGGTGGGTGGTGATGACTAGCTGCTTTCCCTCTAATCTTACACTGCTAAATTAAGGATGGCTAGTGCAGATAGCCCTTGTGTAGATTTACACAAAATTAATAAAAACTAGAACAAGAAACTAGAAGTGGTTATATAGCCATGTATTTGAAATAGAAAGGATGTGATTCATTCTGTTACCACTGTGTTAAAAAAGTCAGAGATTTACCATTGTATACATTTAGTATCTCTATGGCATACTTAAGAAGAAGGCATGATAAAAATAATGTTATCAGTGCATGCTAGCACGAAGATGTACATCTATTTGATGATTGTACATGTGGAATTGAAGATGAATAATCATTGCTTGTTAAATATTATGTCAATATATGTGAATAATATGTAATGAGTAATAATAAATTAATGTTAATAATATATGAAAGCTGGCGTGTGTTGCGTCATGCTTGATTTCTCTTGGTTTATTGAAACAGGAAGAACCATAAAAGCCAAAATACATTTATCCAGTTAGAATATTTCGATTACTGTCTGCCCATAACGATTTTAGTTATGGGGGTGCTGTGAAACCTTGTAAATGTAATGAGTGTTGGTATAATAAGCCTAAAGTAAAGATGTAGTGTGGGATCACCTAGCCTAGAGCCAAGTGCATAAAATTTATCATGAAGTAAAAATATTGATTCAATT